TAAAATTTGAAAATTGTTTCAAGTCATTTTCATTTTTCTATAGACTTACCATTAATTTGGGTAAATTACACCGATCTTCCATGAAATTTGGACAAATCTCATTGGGGTGGAGCGTTTGAGGTTTATTACAATAACCTCCCTTAATTCCGTTAGTGAAGTGATGGACGTTAAGGTTTAATGTGAAAAGTCAATTATACCCTTGTATTATAATAATATATTTATGTTGTAAATATTTGTTAGAGGGAAAAGTCATTTATGCCCTTACTCCCTCCTCCTCCATATGTTTCTCTCCCGTGTAACTCCTCCCACCATTGCCCCCTTTCTCCAACCATCGTCACCTCTACCAATCGCCACCACCACAATATCATCTCCACCTATCTCTTCCTATATATATGTTAATTAATATAAATATTGGTAAGTGATGGTGTCTAAAATTAAACCAATTGAATGGATTTTATATATTTGTTAATTTGGTAAACTTGTTTCAATGATTTGGACTCAAAATAAGGAATTCTAGTGAATGATTTTTAAGAGAGATAATGAGATGACGATACAGAGATGTAGGAGAGAGTAAGAGACGCGATGCAGAGATTTAGGGCATTTTGGTATCGGTAAGGGCATTTAGGTCAATATATCATGTTTTTATTTTTGTTAATTTTGGTAAAGTATAAGGTTATTATTGTCTTTTTACAAGACAAGGGCAATTTTGCCATTTTATGAATTTTTGTTAACGATTTTGACCTAATGTAACGACTCGAACCTGAGGGTTCGAATAGCTAACCGGGTCCTTGTCTGAACCCGAGGTTAACTAAGGGCACTACCTTCCTTTCCTATGTCGATACATAATAATAATAATAATGGGATTATAGTTATAAAATATGTCAAAACAGTCCACTAATCCTTCAAAACCTATGGAGGAGCGTCTCCGCCACTTCCCTTTCATATCCTGAAAATTGTTAATAATAAAATGAGGTGAGCATAAGCTCAGTAGGGAGTGTCTAAGATACACTTCTTATAACCCCGTGAATCCACGTATAGAATAGAAAACAAGAGAACGAGATCATACTATACCGGGGATATATACTATAACCACAACATCCAATATAAACACATATGCCACCCAAGTCACAAACACGCCATGTATGCCAATGAAGTGCAATGCCATGCTCATGTCACTCCCCACTTCCGAAATATTTCTATTTCAACATCCAAACCGTTAATGTAATCCAACCCAAGGCACCTCCAAGGCGTCACGAGGGAGGGGTTGGTTAGTTTTTCCCAGACCACATGGCACCTCCATGGCGTCGTTTGGGTAGCTCAACCACACTAGAGTCTCTCTCTAACCCCCTTTAGATCACACTAACACCACGGACCACTAGGCGCCTCCTAGGCATCCGGGTTTTCACAAATACTTTCGAAAATGTTTCCCCAAAACAATTTCATTGGTTTTAAAAAGAAAATACTTTTCCCTTTTTTTTCTTTCCCAATGGATGCATGAATACTTCATGTTTCACAATTTACCATAATTTTCACCTCATTAAACCTTAACAACTTTTCATAATAAAGAAGAATTTTCTCATGAATTTATAGCATGTTTTAAGTTAACAAAATTTCTGTAATTACACATATTAAACAAGAACATAATCATAAAAGCATACTTTCCATATCCAATCAACAAATTATACACACATATATTATTTACACATAACACACATAGAGATATACATCATATATCTAGCACCATGGCAATTTTTCAAAAAAAAATTACAATAATTCCCATACATTCCATCTATATCACGATTCCATTATTAAGGGGAAGTCCTAACATTTATTTTCATAATTTCAACATCACTTTTCTTAACAATTAAAAATCATGGGGCATCTAAAATGTCAATACTAAGCATGTATCTTCACCACCAAGTATATAATCATAATCATAGGTTCAATTAACACATATAATACATCTATCACCTTAATTACATACAACCATAACAACATAGGCAAAATTGCTTAAATCTAACATGTTTAGAATCAAATTAAAGAGAAAAATTCACAAAAGATCAAATCTCAAAGGATGCAAAAACCCCAATTCCAAGCCCAATTTTCAAAAATTCTATGGTTGGGCAAAGATGAAATTGCTTATATCAACTTAAAGATCTCGCCGAACTCTCCGTTTCGCCGTAAACGGCACCAAAAATCTCTCAAAAATGAGAGAGAAATCAAGGCCTTAAGGATGTAGATATAGAGAGTTCTGGTAGTAAGAGAAAGCTTGGTCGATTTTTTTGGGGAGAAAAATAATCAGCCAAAAGATGATATAACAATATAATAAATTAGTACTTTGTGGGCCCAGCAGAAAAAATAAAAAATAAGAAATATTACAATCTACCCTCCTTAAAAAGATTTCGTTTTCGAAATCTACCCTCCTTAAAAATGGAGGCCCACAACCACACCCCTTCCCGAGAACACCTTACAAAACCCCAAAACCATGAACTCACCAACATATTGCTTTTGACACCAGACATCACCAGGCAATCACACACCACTGTCACAAAAACACAATGCTCACCACCCTATGAGGGTACTCATTACTCATGACATCAGAACACGAGACCAACTAGACCCTACACCCAACTCTCAACGAACATCGGTCCACTCTACACTACTACGCAAGACTTCGGAGCCCGAAAGAGAAACGGCCACTAGACCACCGAACATGACAACATCCAAACTCCATTCATCCTCTAAATGACACACAAAACCCCAGACTAGGAACCCCATCCATCTCACAGTCAAGCTTAAACTCAAATCTACATATCCCTATCAAACTGAACACTCACTACCTAACACTTAACTACACCATAACATACCCGTACAACAACTACCAACCACACTAAGCTGCAATCACTAAACTTACTATCCTCAAGATGACTAAATAATGAATCTTCCAACAACTATACAATCATTAGTCACCAAAATAGTAAAATAAATTATCCTGCACCAAGTCACAAATCCTTAAAACAAGATCTTTAATAATCAAACGGATTGGACACTTGGTCCCACCTAACACACCTCGTCACCGGGGATAAACCACCTGAATCCACACTGCCACATCGACACAACGCGTGATATCGTGCTCTCACTGTCACTAACAAGTCGAAACAATTATTGACCCTCGACCCGATATTGTGCTAAAGAGGGATTGATTCAAGAGAAATGGGTGGCCAGGCCATTCTCATCCTCGATCGGATCTCAGCACAGATGTCGTTCCTGTCTTCAAGTCCAAAACTTAAACACAATCTCACACAGTCCACAAAACAATCATAAGATCAACTCACTATCAATTCATTGCTCTACGTAATTACAAAGACTATACAGTCACATACCTACTCTAAAAATCTCAATCATGCTTTAATCATAACAAGCTAAAAGTTACATAGCGCTGAATACCACAATCATCGACTAGCATAAAAGCTTCCCAGTCCGCTCCTAACAACCTGTACTAGAGATTAACTCTATGATATCATTCAATCTAATTCTTGTCTCATTAAAATACTTCATAAGGCTATCTCATGCCTAAAATCTCGAAACTAGAGTCAATTACTACGATTACTCCTCAAAAGAATCGTACATTCACATTTCAAACCATATAATCTTGAGACGATACCGACACTAGTCCTCAAAACACTTCTCGAATCAAACGTCTATTAAAACACCCAAGTACATGACTCACATCACATCACCTAATCATCCTCGAACTCCCATGTGATACCCCTCGGATCCAAGACACGGGTTGATCAGGCCCAGGCCCAAACCCGAGGGAATATCAAACAATTAATATTTTAAAGTGAACACAGAATACAAGATGAATTTAAGAAATAATAGTTTAAGCTGGAAGAAATCTAAAATATAAAATCCTTTAAAATTAAATACTTAAATCCCAGATAATAATAATCCAACTCCAAAACCTCCAAGGGTACAACTCGGGAATCCATCCTGTGGACCCCTAATAAGAAAACCAAACTGAACTGGAAAAAAAAAAAAAAAAAAAAAACTAAAAGAAAACCATATGAATAGAACTCCTACGTTGTCGGAATAATGAGTGGTCGTCTCTGTTCAGCACGAACAAGCTCAAGCCTGGAACTAACGTACACCTGAAAAATAGGAGTGGGTCAGGCCCACAAACAAGTTTTACCCTACTACAATCCAAGTAGAGACTCAATACGCATATACACTCTAACTAACTCAACAATAACTATATAATCCGTGTATATATATATATATATATATATATATATATATATATATATATATATATATATATCCACACTATGGACTCTCACTGGACTATGATACGGGTCTCAACTTGAGTAGAAGGTAACATGCAAAATGCACCGAAGTGGGCATGACTACCTAAGCCTAACAGGGTACACCTCAACCAGCATAACCAGCTACGCGTCCTACTGCATATACGCTCCCTAACCGTCGACTCTAAGACTCAAGCTCATGTCACAGTACCATAAAATATATATATATATATATAATCTGTTCACATTCATCCATAAGAAATCCAGTAAGTCGTTCAGCTTATTCAACCGCACAGACTTAAGTCGTTCAGCTTATTCAACTGCATAGACTTATACATAAGGATGATTCTATTTTTATAATCCGTACCCTTATTCCAAAGTAGGTAGGACTTAACAATTTAAGCTAATCCAAACCTGGTATGTCATCGTCCCATATCAGTGCATACAATCCAGTTCATCCATGTGATACCCCTCGGATCAGAGACACGGGTTGATCAGGCCCAGGCCTAAACCTGAGGGATATCAAACAATTCATATGTAATCGAACACAGAATACAAGATAAAAATAAGAATTTAAAAATAATAAGTTGAAAGAATGCTAATTGAAAATCCTTAAAATAATAGCAGTGAAGAGGCTCTCGAGCAATTCTGAGCAAGGGTCAGATGAATTCACAAACGAAGTTCTACTAATACTGAAACTTCAACACAAAAATCTTGTCAGGCTTTTGGGATTTTGTGTAGACGGAGAGGAGAAGCTGCTCATTTATGAATACATGCCGAACAGCAGCTTGGATGTCTTCCTCTTTGGTTAGTGTTCTTCTGTTGACTTCTATCCCATTTTTTCAACTCATCGAAACTCCATATGAAGTTTAAGTAATGAATTCATTTCTACTCTGTATGGTTAGATTCCAGAAAACGCGCGCAACTTAACTGGAGTAGACGCCTAAATATTATTAATGGAATTGCCAGGGGAATGCTATATCTTCATGAGGATTCTCGACTTAGAATCATTCATAGAGACCTTAAAGCTAGCAACGTTTTACTAGATGTTGACATGAATCCAAAGATCTCAGACTTTGGAATGGCAAGGATCTTTGGAGGAAGTGATGGTGAAGCTAATACTGCTAAGATTGTTGGGACCTAGTAAGTGCATGCTCAAATATATGTATAAATTAATTTGTACCATTACCTTAAAACTTTTTTTCTTCTATGGACAGTGGATATATGGCTCCAGAGTTTGCCATGGAAGGACTATATTCCGTAAAGTCTGATGTCTTTAGCTTTGGGGTTCTCTTGCTAGAGATCATTACTGGAAGAAGGAATGCCGGATTCCATCTCTCCAAACGTGGCCCTAGCCTTCTAGCATATGTATATCTATTGTGCTCAAGTTTCAAAACCATTTTCAAATGATTTTTTTTTTTTTTTTTTTTGTTTGGTACAATTTTTGCTTAAATGATCTAATTCCAACATTTTGATGGTGCAGGCATGGCAATTATGGAATGAAGGAAGAGGGTTGGAATTGATCGATCCTTTACTGATGGATTCATACTGCCCTGATGAATTTTTGAGATGCATGCATATTGGACTATTGTGTGTTCAAGAATATGCATATGAAAGGCCTACCATGTCATCTGTTGTTGTCATGATTAAAAGTGAAACTGTAACTCTTGGCCCCCCTGAACGACCTGCCTTCTCTGTGGGGAGGTTCACTGATCACTACGAAGCAAATGATAACAATGTTTGTTCTTTTAACGGTTTAACAATTTCAAATATCACACCTAGGTGATGATGAAGCCCTTGACTGGGTGGAACTTCACCGTGCCTTAATGTCAGAGCTTGAGTGTTGGATATGTGTAATTTGTAACTGTTATTCTTGCCTGTGAGAAACTTATTTATAATTATCTTGGATTTCTATAAGTTAAAGTCATCTTCATCACTAAAGATGGTTCTAAACCTTTAATGGCGCGTTATGTAATAGAAATCAGAGCTTGTGACAAGAGTCTATGCCATATCAATGAGATTCATCAATTTTCCCTTCAATGCCATCCTATTAATTTCAAAGAGGTCCTATTACTTTTAACTTAGGAATTAGTTTGGAAAGACAAGCCTTTTCTTTTCAATATTAGATACAAGTTTTCTTTCATTTTCTTCTTTCTCCCATTGAAGATAAACCCTCTGATTAATCTTTGCAGTATATAAAATTAAATCATAAAAGCAGAAGATAAATTAGATAACATGGGGAATAATTAAGACAAATGGCTTGTTTGCATCATCAACCATATCAAACTCTAATACACTCATAATTACCAAGGAAGAGAATGTAATTGTATTTGTGAATTTAATGTTGTAAATGGAGTTTAGTCTTACACTAATATGAATCATATCAGAAAATGTTGGCCACATCAATATTAGAGGGTGCAGTTTATCGTACTACAACCCACTGTTTATGGAAATTTTATAACATTTAAAATGGAAGTTATATGAAAGCATATTTTGATTAGGCAATAAATGGTTTGAAGTAGGATAATCAATCTCTTAAGATAATCAACGGTTAGTTTAGTCAAGGAAGGTCAGGTATATTCTCAAGTCTTAATAAACTGCCTTTTACTTTTCTTTTCTATCCAACTAGATGCTACCAAGACACTGGAAATGCCATTTAAATAGCTAATTCGCATTCTTATTAGTTTTAATTAATATATACTTCAAATTTAATCACATACTCCACCAACTCTGTGTCACACAACACCTTTTATGACGCATTCTTTGTTATTGAAAGTCCGCTGCCATTACCAGGAATCTCTTGACTTCTCTCTTCAAGTAGAATAGTCATACACAATGGTTAGGTGATGCATGCAGAGGTTGGATAACTACCATCAAGTGTTTCTTTCAAACCCAAAAGCCAATCAATGAGCCTCTTCTTGTTTGGTGACTAATTATTGAAATCCGTTAAATCCAAACTTCATAGGTTTACAACTTGGGAATTCATCCATTGGACCTCTTATTAAAGATTCTAAAACCGAAACTGAAAATAATAGAAATAAAGTCCAAAGCTAACATAAAGAAGATTCCTACATAGTCGGAGGAATGAATATCTGTATCTGCTCTGCACGTCCAAGCTCTAACCCTGGAATTGACGAACACCTGAAAAATAAAGAAGTGGGTTAGGCTCACATGCAAGTCCTGATCTATTACAATACAAACAGTAATCCGATATGCAGATACATCCTAGGAAGACTCAACAATATCTAGAGTAGTCCATATAAGTATATAGTATACACTATAGGACGCTCGCTAGTCCAGTAGGTCTGTCTCAGCCTGAATAGAAGGCAACATGCGAATACGCATCCTAAAGTGGGCATGAGTACTGTAATACCCCTAGATTTAAAAGGATATTCCTGATATTTAATGTATTGTTTAAATAGTATTTTAATTAATTAATTGTTTAAATTGTGTTTTTATTTGATTAATTGATTGATTGCTGTTAATTTAAATTATTTGTGTGCATTTTTATTAAATTAATTGTTTAATTGCTTATTTTGTTTGATTTATTTGACCTAATTGGTTTTTGTTATTTTAGTTGATTTATTTGGTAAATTATTTTTTTTATGATATGTATTTTCTGTCTTTAATTATTTAGTTATATTTTTATTTGGCTTTTATTTATTTAAGGAAGTTAAGTTAAAGATTTTAGTTATTAAATTAAAGTATAGTTTTAATTATATAATGAAATTCACGTATGTAGCCGACACTGTTTTAAAATGTATGTGTTGTTATGGGTCGACTACATTAGGGCTCTGTTTATAATTATACACGGATTAGGGTTTTAATGGTAAGCCTATAAATACTCTGTTGTGTCTTAGCCTAGGGTTTTAAAATTACCAAAAGCTCTGTCACGTCTCAAAGTTACAGAATGAAAACAGAGAGGGATTTTGTAAGGACAGAGCATTGTAAGGTTTGTCAAGGGAAGAATAGGGAGGACCAAGGAGGTGTAGTGGTGGTGGACTACCTAGGACCAGAAGAAGGTTGTATAGAGGGTTGTGTTGCCGGAACAAGCAAGGGCTGAACAGGCAAGTTCTTCTTTTTCTCCTTCCCTTTGGTTTGTGTTCTGTGCACCTAGATAATCTCTAGGGTTTAATCAATTAATAATTGGAAGCTACGTGATTAATATATGTTATTGACGATTTGTTTGTTTTAAAATCAAATCTATTTAAAATTCGTGCATGTCTGCTTCCAGTTTTTATTCCTTTAAACATGATACGTTCTGTTGTGATTTAGATTACTGTACTTGTTTTTCATCACTGTAATTAAATCGTGGGGATGTTAATGGGATGTTCTAAGACCTTAGGTACAGTATTGAAGAGGAACCGAGGGGTTGGAATAAAACTGGTACTGCAAATTAGTTCAGTGTTATTCTTCAACAATGCTAGTTTAAATGGCTTTGTTTGAATTTCTGTAATTGATTTTAATTTATTTTGGACAAGCTATGGGAATGATTCTAGGCTTAAATAAGACTCCTAAATTAAGGTAAAGACCCAACACAAAGGTTGCAACTGGTCGGAGTTGAAGCAGAAGTTAGAAACGGGCTGAAACGGAGCAGAAGAAAGCCGGAAGCTCTCAGAAGGAGTGAGAGCCGGCTCCATAGAAGTGGGAGCCGGCTCCCACCCATTGTAGAGCCGGCTCTAAGGGTTCTAGAGCCCGCTCCTAAGCAATTAAGCCTGCTCCCAAAGTTATGGAGCAGGCTCTCTTCAATATTAGGCATTCTGATATATTTTTGTTACGAAGTATTGCTATTGTTGGAGCATTGGGATTGTTTTGAAACCTCTGGGAATTTACAAAGGGATTAGATAGTTTATTTTGGGTTTCATTAAGACCTTAAATTGATTAAAATTGACCTCTAAGTCTATGGGACAAACAGTAGAAAATTAGTGAACTTTCTATGCGGTTGACGGCCGGAAGGTAATAAATTGTCTAGTTTTAATTTGACAATTTAGGGTGCTAAAGCATGATTCTAAATTAAGTTTTAGATGTACGGAGAAGTATTTTAGTTAACAAATTAGACTTATGGATTAGTGTATGGCCCTGTGTTAAAAGGAATAAAACAGGGTACAAGTATACAACTTAGTACGCTTTACCGGATGGAAGGAACTAAATTGCTTAAAATAATTTTAACAATTTATTGGACTATAATATGATTATAGAATGGATTTTAAATGTGTGATAGAGTCAATGCTATATTAGATTTGATCTATGCATATCTGGATGTTAATTGTTGAGTTATGAAATCACAATCTGCAACTATATGGTTTAATGCTTGAATTTAATTGCTGAACTTTAAATGTTTTCCTGCAATTACTTGGATATTGGTTTTGGATTATATATATGTGGAATTTTAATTGCTGAATTAATAGTTTCTGTCAATTACATGGTTGTGGAGGATGGTATGAACCGGTATGGGACGGTGTCATACTAGGGATGGTTTAGCTCAAAACGCATAAACCTAACCTATTGGATTTAAGGGAAGGATTGTAAAATATTGAATCCTAAACCTTGTTTAGTCAGATCGACTGATTAAGTTGAAAGACTATCTGGATTAATTGTGTTTGTGTGTAGTTGGATCGACTGATTAAGTTGAATGACTACCTGGATTAAATGTTGGTTGTATTTAAGTCAGATCGACTGATTAAGTTGAATGACTAAACTGGATTAAAATTCTTATGTCAATTCAATAAACAATAAAATGGCATACCTTGGGTTAGACGGACTTTATATATATGTTATGGCACCACGATATGGGCATGAGTCTCAGAGTCGTTGGTTAGGGAGCGTATATGCATTGGGATGCTTAGCTGAATATGATGGTTGAGGTGTACCCTGTTAGGTCTAGGTATTCATGCCCACCTTTGGGTGCGTTTTTGCATATTGCCTTCTACTCAGGTTGAGACCCCATTATAGTCCAGTGAAGATCCTCTAGTATGGATATATTTATGTATGGACTAGATAGATATTGTGAGGTATTTAGGTATATCTGCGTATCGGGTCACTGTATGGATTGCAGTTAGATTAGAACTTGTTCGTGGGCCTGACCCACTCTTATTTTTCAGGTATCGGACGATTCCAGTCTTAGGCTTGATCGTGTTGTGCAGGGATTATCATTCATTCCACCGACGACGTAGGATGTTCTTCCATATTTTAGTATTTGGTTTTATGTCAGTTGTTTACGTTTCAGTTGAGATTTTTATTTAGGGGTCCACTAGATGGATTCCCGAGTTGTAATTCATGGAAGTTTTGGAAGTTGGATTTTATTAAGTTTTATCAGGCTATTGAGAATTTTATATTAGTATTCTGTTCAGCTTTTAATAGTTATTCTTATTTCATTTTTTTTCATCTGTGTTCGTTTTAAAATACTTTAATTGTTTGATGTCCCTCGGGTTTGGGCCTGGGCCTGATCAACCCATGTCTCGGATCCGAGGGGTATCACAAGTACCTAGACTTACCAGGGAACAACACCTATGTCCAGTTATCCATCCTAGGCGATATACGCGCCCTAACCATGGTCATGAGACTCAAGCTCATACCACGGCACCATATAATATATATATATAAAGTCTGTACTCCTCCTAATACAAAATCCATCCATCTGTGTAGTGGTCTGATATATGTATAACCAATCCATCCTGAAACCATAGTAAGTCATTCAAATCTCAATTGATATGACACAAGTAGGTGATGGACTTAACCTATATGATTAATCCATACCTTAATCCATGTTAGATAGGACTTAGTATTTAATCTAGTCCATATCTAATATGTCACCATCCCATACCGGTACATACCATCCTCCAGTTAATACGGTTGATAATACAGTATTAAATAGTCATCAACCATTCCTAGAACAAGCACAAATACAGTTTAACATATATATAACCAATTTATGCATCAAATATAAGAATTTGAATCCCAATTACAGTCCATTAATATGGCAAAATAAAACTATACGCTTAACTCCTCCGAACAGTGTCATAATAGATACAATTGATAAC